AGATAACTGCTCCATAGCTATACTCTAAAATATCGAAGAAATTACTTTTTAAGTACAGAAAGAACAGAAGAAACAAGGTGTTCTTCAAAGTCACAATATTATAAACGGGAGTGACTCACGCCTTGTGCAGTTGCTCCATCCTGAGTTACTGTATAAAGTCAAACCTCCATAAAGTGAAAAACATTTGTGATCCATTCTTGGTCACTACACTAACCCGAGAAATAAACACCATAGCCTCTGTGAATGGTGCCCCCAGGAAGTGGGTGCTACCCAACCAGTCTAGTCTTACCTAGAGGCCTTGTCCTTGGAGATCCCCTCATAAAATACAATGTATCTAAGCTTGGGGGTACATAGCCTTGAATGTACATATAAATGTACAACGCAATGAGTAATATATGTTATATAATATAGAATGCATATGCAAGACAGAAACAAGTATTTATTATCTTTCCATGTTTCTCCATTTGGGGACGGACAGAAAAATTGGCATAAGCTAACTGAATACATTATAGAGTTCCAATGGAATCTGTACTTGCAAAGTATGAGAGAAAAGGTTGCTATTAGCCTATCAGCATCAATGAATATTAAACCGGTAAACAAATTATCTTATTTGTCTTTATAAGCAATCAGTCGTAATTATGGAATAGTGTCAAGGCCAAGAAATAAATGAACAAAATACAAATATTCTTAAGACCTATTGTTTTGAAGAGAAGGAAATAAAGCTGAATATTCTAGATTCCCTTCTACAGACATTTCATTCTAGCCCCTTTAAGATATTTGGGTGATGTTAAAATGGTCTTGCAAAGAAGCATGAAAAATAGACCAAGGAAAAGTCATCTCTTCTCCAAACCTTGCATGGTCAGAGATAGAATTTTGTCAGCCCTTCTGAATTCTTCCTGAGAACAGACACCTTCTCATCACTGTCTACAAATGCCTCCCACCGCCCCTTCCCCCGAGTCCATCGAGGGGGAAGGTCGTCTGGTCTTTACCTGTAAAGCTACTGTTCATTTCAGGAACGTCATCCTCCTCCTCATTCTCCGTGTGGACTATGCCAGCATTTTGCATATCATTGTAGGACTTGGTTCGCTTTGGGGTCGACTGCTTGGAGCCAGACTGAAGGCTTTGCAAGGCATCCGTCGTGATCACTTTCCCACTAACTGGCTGGCTAGGAGGTTTGGGTGTCCCATAATAGTTTCCTAGGTGATGGAGAGACACATTTGCATGTTTTAGAAAGAATACTTTGTTTTTTTCGAGACTTCACATCCAAATCTCTCAGCACATTAAAAAAAAAATTTTTTTTTTTTTAAATAGAAAGCCAGAACAAACTGTATTTCATTTCTGGAATAGGTTACGAAAGAAGTCGTTCCTCCCCAGCTAGACATGGTGATTTCAGAAGCCAGGAGGAAAGCTGCATTGTTTAGTTGCAAAGTAGCTACTACTAGGGCTAAAAACAAAGGCGGCTGTACTGAATAGCAGAACTTCATCCTCAGTGCATTTGAAATTCAGTTGGTCACCTTTTTACATACATGCGCCAGCATTATGCTGAATCCGATTTAGACCTAGCCTCACAGAAAATAAAAAATTCATTATTGCCAGCACCCTTACAGGCCTACAAAGTCAAGGTCACTTTCCCTTAATAAGGAGACTCCTTAAGAGGGAACCAGGGCATTATTTAAAAAGGAGGACAGTGAATACCACGTGGCACCTCTTTAACTGAATGGCAGACTTGACTCTCAGGGTCATGTGGGGTGGGAGTGAACCCTTGCCAAGTTCTAAGAGAAAACTGTGTCAATGAAGGCACGATGGCCACTCTCAGTAACTGTCCATTTCGCGTCTAGCCACTTTTCCTCAATGTTTGGCTCAGTGATTTTGAGCAATATCTGGATGGATTTTTACATTTTTTAATTTTAATACGTGTGTATATTTTTAATGTGGACTAAAAAAAGTCTAGCTCCTAAGTTATGGTAGTAATATAAAGGTGACTTTTAAAATTAAGCGAAAAAGCAATACTTTTTAAAACTGACTTTAATTTTAAAAAGGCAGCTAGCTATAGGGGTGCCTGGGTGGCTCAGCTGGTTAAGTATCTCACACTTAGTTTCAGCTCCGGTCATGATTTCACGGTTTGTGGGTTCAAGCCCCACATCAGGCTCTGCACTAACAATGTGGAGCCTGCTTTGGATTCTTTCTCTCTCCCTCTCTCAAAATACATAAACTCAAAAAAAGAAAAAAAAGATAGCTATATCTAATAAAAATTAATTAACCGAATAAATAATAGTAGTGGCAATGATTCCTTTTGAAAACTTAAATTAAAAATAAGTTATTTTAAAGAATATTTCAAACAAGTAATAGATATTATGTTCAGATGTAGACAAAATCATAAAGGTGATTCACGAATAGCCGAAGTTTGAAAAATGCAGCTTCTAATCAATAATACGCGGTGACTACATGATAAAAAAAAAACGTTAGCATTAGAATGCCACTAATCCATTCACCATCTCACGTCTTTTACAGGAAGGCCAGGAAGGTAAATTATACTGAGTCTTTCAATAAATCCTAAGCAATGTTTGTAATTCCATGCTTCATAAAGTAGAATTTATAAATAATAACAAACCCTGTATACACTGTTTCTTCCCAAGGACTCAGCCCGCTGCCTAGCTTCCATACATAATTACATAAAATATACATTTTACTACAAACGCACAAAAGCAAAAGGAGACAGTAATATGCTCTTCTGCATGAGACACACAGATGGTCAAGAAGTGGCTTCCATTGAGCCTTATTTTATAATTAAAATTTCTTGTTTATTAACATTATTTCTTTAAAATCCTTTTTTTTTTTTTTTTTTTAATATTTTTTTCCAACGTTTATTTATTTTTTGGGACAGAGAGACACAGAGCATGAACGGGGGAGGGGCAGAGAGAGAGGGAGACACAGAATCGGAAACAGGCTCCAGGCTCTGAGCCATCAGCCCAGAGCCTGACGTGGGGCTCGAACTCACGGACCGCGAGATCGTGACCTGGCTGAAGTCGGACGCTTAACCGACTGCGCCACCCAGGCGCCCCTTTAAAATCCTTTTTGAACCACGACACTTACGAATATACACACCCACTTTCTTTGACAGTGGTGTAAGACTGGGTGTCAGCGGGGAACTCTCAACACACAAGTTAAAAGGGGCAGGAGACTAGTGGGCATCTCTCTGGTATCCTTCCAGAGAGAAACCTAAAAAGCACATTCTGGAGGCTTTTACTCAACTGAATCATTATAGTTCTTTCACGGAAGATGATACTATCAATTTCTTCAAAAAAACTTGTCAGGTGTCCAAGTTAAAGGTACAGAAACTGAATATAACCGCTAACACGTGGGCAAGGGTGAAGCACATGTATGAACCAAGGCCTCTTCTGCATTTCTACAGAGGTTACATCTAAGGACCTCCCACCCTTTTGCTGAAGTTGAAAGGAGACCACAGTGCTGACTTTTTCACAATCTGAAGATTATTAATGAGGCAGGAAAGTAAAACAGCTCACGATTTAAAAGATTATCTTCACAGGGAACAAAAAATAGACAAAGGTTTACTGAATTTAATTCTAATTCCTTCTGATCACTATTACACTAAGCATCATGTTCATGTTTGAGTTAGAAGTTAAAGACCAAAGTCTATATAAGACTCTTCCACTCAAAGATGTGACCAAGGGATGGGTCCCTTTATTCATAATTTTATGATTATAATTTTACAAACATGATCATTCATTTCCAGTGTCATGAAACCAAATCAACATTCAGGAAGCTGTTGTCATTAAAAAAAAAAAAAATCAATGAAAACTTAGACATCTTCAGTTAATGACAAAAATAAATGCTGGGAAAAGAAAAGTTCTACCTAAATTTGACAAACAGGTGTGGATTTTCCCAAGTTTTCAAGTGCAGAGTCTTTCTTAAATTATTTCAAAGCAACGATAAACTCCCCAAATAATCCATTTATTCACAGTTGTTTCCTGTTTCTGAAAATTAATACTGGACACAAAAAAAGTACATATTATTATGCTGAACCACATGCAGTTACCGTCATAGAAGACAAAGTGTCTCGGGTCAGTCATCTCATTCAGGTTAATCTGAGGTATAGGCGTGAAAAGTATGCGGCCCACCAAAGTGGTAAAGAGACAGTTTTGCCTTCAAATCCTTGCTTCACCACTAACTGACTCTGTGATCATAGGCGTTTAGCCATTAAAAAACAAAAACAAAAACAAAAACAGAAACAACCCCTCATCATCCCCTTCTGTAAAATTAGGGTTCTAAAAATACCTCGTTTGTATCGAGAGCACCTGTTTTGAGGATAAAATAAGATGGTCCATTAAAAGTCTTTAACCCACATGAAAGTCTGCTACTACACTGACACTCAATAAACACTACTTAAGTGTTGATAGTTTGTTTCTAATCATTAAAATGAGCTCATTCCTGGGGCGCCTGGGTGGCTCAGTTGGTTGGGCATCCGACTTTGGCTCAGGTCATGATCTCACGGTTTGTGGGTTCGAACCCCATGTCGGGCTCTGTGCTGACAGTTTGGAGCCTGGAGCCTGCTTTGGATTCTGTCTCCTTCTCTCTCTGCCCCTCCCCACGTGTGCTCTGTTTCTCTGTGTCTCAAAAATAAATAAATGTAAAAACAAAATTTTTTGTTAAAAAGCGAGCTCATTCCACCATGTTGGAAGGGTTAACGAGACAGTGTATCTGGAGTGCTTGGGACATGACAAGTGGGTACTATTCCTTTACTCAGGCAAAATGTGCCAGAGACCAAACAACCTTGGCAAGTTTTTTACACTCAGTTTAATACTTCCTCTCTAAGACATAAATGACAGCCCCAGGCCCAGCGACCTCATAGGATGATCGTGAAGGTCAAATTATTTAACTTGCTGGAAGGTACCCTATAAACTATAAGGGGTTATAAATGGGAGATGGTGTAATTAGATCTCGCCAGCATTTATTTTCCTTGTTGATTGCGAACTTTATAGAAAAGCTTATATTTAGTGGTTTTGTAATTACATAAGGTTCAACTTTCCTTCACAGATATGTTTTTTCCCATAGATTAAAAAAGTAATTTGAATTAGTCACTAACATAAAAATGGAATCTTTCTTTTCTTTTTTTTTTTTAAAGATTTTTGTCATTTTTAAGAAATTTCTACACCCAACGTGGGGCTTGAACTTACAACCCTGAGATCAAGAGTCACACGCTCGACTGACTGAGCCAGCCAGGTGCTGCAAAAAATGGAATGCTTCTGATCCAAATCTGGATATACTGAGAAGTGCTGCTTGGCAAATATAAACTCTTGTTCCTCGGATTCCATCTCTTCCAGGTAATGTTGATGACAAGTACGTGACCAAAGCCAAGGCACGTGGAGCACACTTGTTGCATTAAGGATTTTTGGAGAGAAGTTGTTCTACCCTTGTGTGTCCCTGCTCTTGCTGGACAAATATCTTGGCCCCAATCAAGGCTGATGCCACGTGAAGGTATGGCCGCACAAAGTAGCCTGGACTCAGGAGGGAAGGAAGAAAACCTAAAACTTCAAAACAGCCTTGGGGCACTTGGGTGGCTCTGTCGGTTAAGCATCTGACTCTGGGGTTCGCGATCTCACAGTTCATGGGTTCAAGGCCTGCATCAGGCTCTGCTGTGAAGCCTGCTTGGGATTCTCTCCCTCTCAAAAGAAATAAATAAAAATTAAAAAAAAAAAACAACAAAAAACAGCCTCAATAACTCGGATGGGTGTTAGTGATCCCTGGATGAATGTGGTTTCAGTCCCTGGACTTCTGGTGGGTGGGGTTATGCCATAATCCATGTGCCTTTACCACAGAAGGACAGGCAAGGCAGGTGGGGCACTTGCCACTGGCTAGTCACCACAGGCTCCACTGCCTCCACCCACCTTCTTCATTCTCCAAATCTAGCTGCCTAGTCCCTGGGCACCTCCCCTACAACTCTCCCCTTCTGGCAAACTCCCTGCCTTATCAAGTTGCCATGGCGGTCATCGTCAGGCCCGACCTGGCCATGCTAGAAGCACCAACTTACAGAGAGTATGCACAAGAGACTCGCTGTGAGGGATACATGGATCACTTAACAGTATTAAATAAAAATCATCTCAAGAATTATAAATGATTAAAAAATTAATTTGGGTTATTACCTGGCAGACTTCACAGTTTCCAGGAGACAGGAGCC